AGGACATAGTCTTTTACTACACTTTGTACTTACATATTTTCGCAACTTTCTCAGCATTTATGCATAATAACTTTAATCATTTAATATGAATCGCATAATTTAGTCAGCCTTCATCTCGCCGGGTCTACAAAAATGTGCCTATTTTGGAGAAAAACAGAATTTCACTTGAAAATGACGATAGACCTGTGCATATGACAATTTCCTGCAATTAGAGAAAGTGAGAAAGATTGTGACGTTGACTTAAGACCAGTGGCGGCTTGTCGGGGGAGGCAGGGGAGGCACAGCTTCCCCATAATTTTGAGGTGAAAATGGGAGGAGGACGATTTAATGTTAATAAAATTCACAATTCATTTCAGTTCATGTCTCAGAATGTTTATTTTTTGTTTGTAGTTTCACAGTTGTAATATAATAACGTGAAAGCGCCGCTTTTCTATCGCGAATGTACCGAATCTGCTGATGTAATTACAACCGCTAATGATAGAGAAGGGGAGAGGGAGGCCGAGCGAGCGCTGAGCTCTCGTACAGTCTACTGCAGGGCGCGTGGATCCTAAAGCAATAGACACGCATTACAATTTCAAGCAGCTCTTAAAAACTGTTTTGAGTTATTAAATAAATATGAGCGTCATTAAGATAACGCGTAGAAAGTTGCAACCTTTTATTTAAAAAAATCAAATCGACTGCTGAATTATAGTCTAATATTAGAGATAACCCGAAATTCAGTAGTTTTGTATTTTACTAATAAAGAAACAAAATATAGGCCTGATTTGTTTGTGCTTATTGATTATGGTGCTACAGGAAATCACTTTAGCATGTACATCTCAGATTAAATTGCGTGTAGGCCTAATGCGCCGAATAATTGTGTCAAAACGCCGCAGTGCTGTCCTGCAAAGTAGCGCGAAATCGGTATGAAATTGGACCACAGCAGTTAGGTACATGGTGAATGGCTTCACTTCTTTGTGCCTCGTCGATGCTGTTTATCACGCTGTTTTCACGCTTAAATTCAACATGTTGCACCACATTAGCCCTTTAATTTAGCCACCACATTCTGAAGAAAAACTGTTTTCTCTGCTCCCAATTAGGTCCTATGCATTAAATTGAAGCCACACACACACACACACACAATTGAAATATTCAAAAATTCAGGGGGGAAAACGCTTTGTAAACACTCTACGAGTGCACTAAATAGGTCTCCTCAGTCGCATGATGCTTTTTCCCTCTGATTAACTAATTAACTACATTAACTACATCTTATTAATACTGACATTGTAGGCTGATGTAGATCTCAGAATAATTGAAAAAAAAAACGACTTGTTAACAACTGATATGATTATAAATACATGCATATAAATACAGCACTACAACAGAAACAATAAATACAGACAATATACAATTACAAAATATATATGCACGTAGACATATGGGTGTGCTATTTATTTGTGTAAATATTTGGACACTGTCTATGCACCTTAAATTTTAATATTTACATTACACCTTCTAGTAATCCTTACTCTTTATATCTATTTTGAAAATATGACATAGGCGTACTGAACGAATTTAGCCTATGCAAAAGAATTCTCACTGAATGTCAACGGAACGGGTCAACCAAGAGCGAAACAAATCGGAGAACCGCCTTTACTATTCAGAGGTTAAAAAAAAAGAAACAAATGGCTTCCCGCAAAGTTCAACAAAATACCCAACTTGATATCAGCTATATTTAACAACTAATAGGCTACAACACACAATTTGACGTATTTAATTTGTGTCACTGTAAAATGCCACGCGTCCGTCCTGTTTGTATTGGGCTAACCAAACATGTTCCATAATGAATTTCTATAGACTTCAAGTTATTCAGAAGGCTTTGGTTCAGGTGCACAATGCCTTGTGTTTGGTTGTGTGGACTGAGATCTCGATCTCAAAGGAAAAGAGAGGGACATTAACATTGCTTTAGGTTTTCTCAAGGGCTGAAATTAACTAGTGGAAAGTAACTTTAAAACTCCATGAAGGATGAACTCTTTGTAAACCTTTTCAACGAGAAACACAAGGGCTTAACAAAAGACGAGCCCCCTCATTGTGAAGCACTAAATCCTGTCTATGGATGCGCCTTGAATTGCAAAACATCTGCCATTTACTCTTCAGAACTTGACTAATTTGTATAAGAATAAACGACTTGTGTACACTGCTTTCGTTTAAACGCAAAATAAGACAGGGCATCAAATATCGTTTCTTGCCATGACATAGATGGACAAACATGTCCATGTTTCTCTGTGTTGTTACTTATCTTTAATTTCAAATAAGGAACTATCTCTTTTGGAAGATCCACAAACCTACCGTCTTTCTCCAATAGATAGCCTACTGCTATATTTTCGGCTTGATATGGGTTGCGATATCCAAAGATATGTGAAATCACGTCAGGCGGCTATAAATTAAGGGATCCACTAAATGTCGTTAACAAGGGAGCTGTAGTTTTATGTAACAACAAATCAAAACACTTTTCAAAATGTCCTATTAGCGACTGTAATACGATAGAGGATTATTATGGTTATGCCTCTGTGTTAAAGCATAGCCTAATCGTAGGTTTCCCAGAGAACCTGCTTTATAACTCCAAAATGTGGAAAATCGGCACCAGCTTCTGAAAAGGTGGGGGCGGCCCGTCAATTTTATTTTTATTATTTTTTTTTTGCTGCCATTGCAGGGTTTATTACAGCCTTGTTATAGGCATATAACAATCATTGTTCGTAGACCATGAAGATTGAATGAGAAGCATATATCCATAGAAATTGTATGAAACGCACGATTTGCTTCAGCATCCTGTAAGCAGGCAACGCCACATGCCTGACTTGCCAGGTCGGATTTAGCCCTGATTTCAAGGTTCATCCTCTGACTGATTCCGCAAAACTGTATAGGCCTATCAAAACTGAAATGATTAACCAAATAGTGAAGGAAAAGCAATCAAGACCGCTTTAATAAATACTAGCTTATTTAAAAAGCATCCAATGATTAGAGAGGACGAGCTAAAAGTGAGACCGGCAGTGAATGTGGGTGTTCCTAAGATCTTAAGATGACTGAAAGACTTTTGTGACCTGCTTTTTGAGAAACATCGCATAGATTTTAAAATCTTGCTTATTACTTATAAAGCCCTGAATGGTTTAGCGCCTCAGTATTTGAACGAGCTCTTATTGCATTATAGTCCTCCACGTCCGCTGCATTCTCAAAACTCTGGGAATTTGATAATACCTAGAATATCAAAATGAACTGCGGGTGGCAGATCCTTTTCCTTTTTAGCGCCCAAACTCTGGAATAACCTACCTAACATTGTTCGGGAGGCAGACACATTCTGTCAGTTTAAATCTAGATTAAAGACCCATCTCTTTAACCTGGCTTACACATAACACACAAACAAATTTCTAATATTCAAATCCCTTAAAGGATTTTTAGGCTGCATTAATTAGGTCAACCGGAACCGGGAACACTTCCCAGCGATATCGTCGACTTGATTGCACAGATACTATTTAAACTGAACTGAGCTGGATGATGACATCACTGAATTCAATGATGAACTGCCTTTAACTGAAAATTGAGTGTTTACTATTGTTATTTTGCATTATTAACACAATATTTTCCTAATTAATGCTGTACAGTTGCTTTGACACAATCTGTATTGTTAAAAGCGCTATATAAATAAAGGCGACTTGACTTGACTTTTTGAACAGGTTGTGTGCCTTTGGAAACGAATGGTGCCTGTGTGAGTTAAGTTTTGGAGCGTATTTACATTTTATTGTTACTTAATATACTCTAAAGAATAATGTAATGGCAATATCCTATGATAGTTTAAAAGGGTTAAAACAGTCTAATGTTTATATTTTTATACCCTTTTTGACATATGTCTTTAACACGTTCACGTTGCCTCTGTAGTTGGGAACTGTACCTTTGTTGCCTCAGAAAATGGGATTATTGAAAAGAAAATTAGCATATTTTCACTGGAATATTCTGACTATGTCGAATTATGCCACCAAGTGGCAAAATGGAGCACTGGCAGGAAACTATAATGCAGGGTTCTTCAACTCCACTTCTGGAGGTCCAGTGTCCTGCAGACTTTAGTACCAGTTTAAATAGCCCATTCCCGAATAATTCTGAACACTTTAATTTAATGTTCGGGTGTGTTTGGTTAGCATCCAAGCTAAACTCAGAAGGAGTTGAAGAGCCCTGTAATGGGTTCATTCAGGTATGGTTGAATATGGTCCAACATTTTTATATAATGGAAGAACTGTGTTTATTAAAGTAAAAATATCCATTGGTCTGCACAACTAATCTGTGTTTAAAAATTTGATTTTGATGTATCTCATGTATCTATATGAATATACCAGTCTTCTGGTAAATCACTGTTAATATAATGTTAAAAGGATATTCTTTTGTGTTCCACAGAAGAAATAAATGCATGTTTTGAAGGAAATTAAAATGAATAAATAATGACAGGGTGAGCTAATTTATTTTTTTAATCACAAGAGGGGCTGTTTTAATCAACATTTAGGCTGATGTCAGCATGTAAAATGTCCGGTAGCAGCCTTGTTAAAGTGAATGAAAACATTTTGCCTTATCAAGGAGATTGCTTTTTCTTAACAATGTTCAAATACAGCATCAACAAAAACAGACATAACATCAGATTTAAATGAGATGTGTAATATGGATTTATTGAGAAGTGGATCTGCAGAAACAGTATGGCAATGAATATGCAAGCATTTTATGGAAATTTCCTAAATTAAAAGGAAGCATGTGTTCACTTAATGCTAGCATGTAATCATCAGCTTTATGAATATTACTATTTAAATGGTCTTAAATCAATATCTTAATCCACACTGAATCCCAGACACTGGTTTGCAAAGGTAACATAATAATAAATAATCTAACCAACCACACAAAGTTTCTGAAATATTCATATATTATGGAGAAATATTTATAGTAGGCCCATTTTCTCAATTCACTCACCCCTAAATTAATCTGTGCTAAATCCTACTAATGGTTTGGGTGTAATTCTGAATCGATGTTTGGAAGTATGCAGCAGTGTTCTTTTGAGGTTGGAATATTATAACGTAACATTTTGGTATGAAATAACTGAAGAGAATTCCATATATACTAGACAGCTGTGTCATCGCATTAACAAGCTGGACGTATTTGCTTTTGAGAATAAGGTATGCTGTGAAATAAACAATCCAGCTCACATTGTACAAAATGAGACTGAAAGTTATTGATTTCGCCTCATTGTAATTTTTTGGCAGATCTCTTCCCATGTAAGAAAATAAGAGACACAGGAATCCAAGAAACCAACCTATAAACACAACTACGCTTAAAGTTACAGTGTTCCCCATTTCACAGCTGAGTATAATCTGGTCTTTAAAAGTTAAAGAGTCCCTGGAGGGTATGGGAGTTGAGACAGTCATCCATAGTACACAAGAAATTAAATGAATGATAGAAAAAAATCCAACAAAGAGCCACTGTCCGTTGTGCTTTACCCAAAGGCTGTGCATGTTAGGGAACTTGGCAGCCATTTTGAAGATACAAACAATTTGAAAGGAACGGACAGCCATACAGGAGAGAAAAACAGTGAAGAAAAATGCAAATACAACATTTCTCAGGAGGCAATGTACAGATGTGGGATTTCCAAAGAAAAAGAAGACACTTATTGTAGACATTATCAAACAAGTCAACATTAGGAAACACATGCTGCCACCAGCAGACTTTACCACTGGTGTGTTGAAGTTGTAGGCAAAAAGGCAAAATATGGCAATAAGGAGAATAATTAGGCATGTGGCAGAAAACATGACAGTGATGGAGTGGATTTCTGTGAACTCAAGATAGACAACAGTACGTGTCTTACATGCCGTGCTGCCCTCATCAGACCATTCGCTCTCTAAACATGGAGAACAGGTATAGGGGTTCCCTGAAAAACAGCAAAATAATACTTTTTTGATCATGAAGTTCAAACAGTACAAAATAGATTATCCTAGTTTTATTTTCTTTCAAAACAAAATAGATAATACAATGCAATTTTGAAAATTTAAACACAAAGACAGTGTCTACCGATTTCTACCGAGGGGTACTCTTGTAAAGCCACTACTCCCCTGCCCCTCCAGAGGTCTGTACACTGCACAGAGATTTGAATGCCAGCTCAGCAACCATGCAGTTAATAAGGAGGTGATTAATTAAAATAATGAGATCATTAGAGTTGGTTTGTGGTGAAAGTGAGAATGGAGCACCAGTAAACTGCATTAGAGCTCTGCACAACACTGCCTTACTCTGTATTGGGAGACAGCACAAAAGAAGAAGATGGGGTAAAATGTCCCTTCAGCTTTGTTTCTTCTTGAGCTTATCTGTCACCACATACCATAATTATTATTATAATATTAATCGAGTTGTTATTTAACAATACCATTAATTAAATTGTACAAATGTATGTTCGTTAAGTATCTGTCAACTAACACATTTACATTTTACATATAGTTACACTATTTAAAAAAATATGCAAAATACATTTTTGATATAATTTTAATAATTAAAATCATCTGGGGTTGGGGTTAAGGCAGGGGTGTCCAAACTTTATTATTTTTGTTTTTTTAAAGAGGGCCAGATTCAATGTTTAGACACACCTGGGGTCAGAATGCTGTGTATATATACACACACCCACACACATACAGAGCTTACATACAGGGCTCCAAACTAACATTTGAGACCAGTGGCACCAGCACCTAATTTAATATTAATAATATTGCATGCTTTGTGTCTTGGACAGTAGCTTTGGTTTACAGTAGCAGTAGCTTGATTTGGGATGTATGTCACATATAATATATTTTACACAAGCTGCGGTCCATTTGAAATGTATTCCTGGGTCACATCTGGCCCACAGGCCATAGTTTGGACATCCCTGTCCTACCCTATTTTTTTGACTACAACAGCTAAATTATTAAAAATTAAAATGTATTCCCCCAAATATATTAGACAATGAATTATCATCTGGTACATGTTATTTTCCCTTATCTTTCCCTGGTAGCATGGACTGAGGAAGCTGAAATGCCAATGCTTTGTCACACATTGCTTAAAGTACTCACAGGAATAATTCACATAGCTGTTACGTGGACATTTTTTGCACAGAAAACAGCAACTATGATATCGATTAGGTTCCCTCGAAAATCCCTCTTTGCACTCAACGGAGCAGTTTGAGAATGGAACCTTTATGGAATGGGAAAGTGTGTCATTAACATTAATCAAATTAAGGTAAATGTTTAGATAAATACTCGCTGAAAACATAACTTACAGAACCATTGTTATGCCAGTGCAAGAGAGTGTTGTTGATATTAAAAGTAATTTCTGGATATGTTTCATATGTGCCCACCATATCAAACCGTGGAGGATTTGTTTCAGTATTCCAAAGTACGACTGAAAAACTGACAGTTGGATCACCATTGTCATCATATTTCACCTGATGGCCATTAAGTGGGAAGTCCAACTTTTTCATTTGTTCCAGAAGCTGTTGTAAAGTATGGTAAAAATGCCCCCCAAAAAAGACAAACAGTATTATTAAGCATTATTAACATAATAAATGTTATTACTTTTCATGAAAAATGTCATTATCATTATGATGCAATTACTCACCATGTATGGCTTAACTGTTATGTTTTTGTGGCATTCATTCATGTCACATTCCAGAACCTTATGTAATGCATGAGCTATGGTATATATGGCAGCATAGATGGCGAAGGAGAATGAGGGATTCTCGTTTATAATCTCCTCGGCGGTCAACAGTGGGCAGTAATCACGAACTTGATTGCATGTCTTATTCTTACTCTGGACATTACTCTCAGTGCTATATCCATTAATTTTTCTCCTGTCTTTATAGATGAATTTATCAAATCCTGGTAATGACAACAATCTCTCCGTAATGCCAATTACTGTTCCAATTTTCCCAATTCCCGGCTCTGTTGGAAGCTGTTGATTCATAGCCCAAGTTTCACTCGCAATCCACACTTTGTCTCGGATGTCATTTGCTATGGCTGCTTTGATAATTTTTCTTGCATATGGTGGCACAGCGAAAACAACAATGACATTGATCTTGAGCATATCAATCTTTTTAAGTGTTTGACTGTAGTTTGCCTGTTGGCCTAAAGCCTCTTGATAGGCCAAACAAATGCCAGTATTGCTTATATACTTGTTAAATATTCTTAGACCATCTTCGCTGTAATCATCTTGGCTACCAAGAAAGGCAACCCAGTTCCATCCAAACCACCGTATGATGTGAATAATCATCTCTATAAGGTTTTTGTTGCTAGGGATTGTTCTTACAAAGGAAGGATACTGAAGTTTATTGCTTAATGTATAACTAGAAGCTCCATAATTCACCTTTGAAAGAGAAGAAAACATTCCAATTTATTAGCATTATATTGTAACTTGGTAGTCCTGAACAAAAAGTAGGAAGTAAGTATTTTGTTATGTAAACTATATAAAAAGAAACAGAATTTACCAATGGTATAAGATCCATTGTGATCAGTGGTGCAATAGTAATAGTTCTTGTGCTTCCATATGGCCCTGTTAAAGCAATCAATTTAGGCTGATAGTTGTTGAGCTTTTCTTTAGGTTTTATTGAGCCATTTTTTGAGATAAAATTGAAGATTGAAGGGAAATTTTTCGTGTCAGAACAGTGGTCAAAAATCTCATATCCCAGAGAAACATTGGGAAGAAGATTTGTGGAGTTATTAATCTCCTCAACAGCAAACCTCATCACTTGCAACATCTGATAGCCAGATTTTGAGAAAGTGTATCTAGAAAATATCAGTGAAGAAGTAAATAGCGCTTAATCAAATCTTTGTTTTTAGAAATGTGACTTAAAACAAAATACTGAGGAAATGCTGCTGCAACAAAAAGTGACAAAAAAAATCCTTTCTTACCTGAAACATTCAATGGCTTCTGGAGTGGAAAAAGGTTCTGCATGTTGAACTTCATGTAAAGCAAAAAGGCCACCCAATAAGTAATCTCCCTTCAGGCTGAACTCAGATTCTAAGCAAAACACTTTGAAAAAGAAACAATTAATAAAGGCCAAAAGGAAAGAGCAAATGCTACTCAAATGCATGGTTTATGGTGGACCGTTGGTTGTGAAACTGGAATCCGTAGTGGCAATTCATTAAGTACAGGCTCATATATAACTATTTAATTTGCTTAAAACACAATTCAATTTGTTTAAACCACCATATTCACTGATACAAAGTACAATTTCCATATCTAAACTAAAACGTTCACATCCATCAGTTGTTAAGTAGAGCATTACACCACATCAAAATCAACAGATGCAAAATATAATTTTATATACACAGAAAGTGATTTGGTCCCACTTTATATTAGGTGGCCTTAACTACTATGTACTTGTTTTGCAATACAATATGAATACAATAAGTACATTGTACTTCTTTTTTTTATGTAAGTACATAGTAGTTAAGGTCACCTAATATAAAGTGTGACCAGTGATTTTCTAATATTTCTAAAGTTGTAAATGAAACAAAGATTCGTTTTACAAGAAAATACAATTTCAGTCTTTCTACTTCAAAATTCAACGTGATACCTGCCATTTTTGTAATTATTTGTACCATTTACTAGCAATTGTTTAAAAAAAAAGATATTTTTTCTACACCATTCATTTTCAGTGAAGAGAATGTAGCTCACCACATGATAAGGAGTCAAAACTGACAACAAGTATATCAAACAGGCAAATGCAAATAAGGCAAAGCATGGAGGATGGTACCACCTGGCGACCAGGAGAGTCACTTACAAGTAGTAGTACATAAAGGGATCCAGTATGTTAGTGGTTAACATTTCTGTAAACTTGGAGGGATCAGACCCAATCAAATTTATGCTAATGTATTTTCAGCTGAAAACACCATGACTGAAAAATATACAGCAAGGCATCAACTGTTCAAAAAACATAGACTCTATCCGAAACCTTAAGATAAGCAGGCAGCAAGACACATCTGAATCCAGTGATTGTGTCACATACCCAAGCCCATATGGAATGCAGTATTGAAGTTGTGGATGGTGGTCAGTTTGTGTGTAAATGTATGTTTTTGACCAACTTTTTCTAGTTGTGATGTAATTTCTTGCGAGAAGTCAGTAGTAGGGGAGGCCGGGTATGGTTGTAACATGGGAAGAGTTGTAAAATGTTCTATGATCATTTTAGCTTTTACTCACTTCCTCCCAGATCCAATATGAATGGTTGCCAAGGTTGGAAACAGGCAAATGCAGATTTTATAAAGAAAAAAACTGATTAAGAATGTATTTTTTTACGAAAACTATATTTTGTTTACTTACACTTTTACAGATAAAATCATTTAACATAAATCAGTTTAAACTAGTTTATTAGGCAAAATGTGATGCCTTTTTAACCTGCTAATTTCAAACTATTTTGCTAATATGGCCAGCTAAGTGTTACAATCATCCCCTTACATGCAACTACAAACAGTTTACTTTTGATCATTTTACAGAAGCAGTGTCTGGCCCCAACAAGCCTGTAATTCAGGGTTAACAACATTAATTTGTCACCATTGTGACTCTGATTGAAAATATTCACACAATGACATGTAAACATTGACAGTGTTTTTGTTGACCTACATGTTCATTACACAGGAACTCTGGAATTGAGTGCTCATTTCAGCATAAAGGAAGTTTGTTCTAGTAGACTAATTTACACACACTCCTGCATCAAACAAAAAGTGAATTTGAGCAGTGGTCAAGGGATTATGCAGACCAAACATATCAGTGGTGTAACCCAAGTCAATTACTGATGTGCAATGTACTACAGCCACAAAGCAATTTATGGCTCATTGAATTATGCCCTTATAGTGTGTGAGGCATGTGGGTTGTACTCGCCTCTCAGGGTTAAGGCTCATTCCACTCGGAGTGTAGCCACTTCTAAGGCGCTACCTAAAGCTACGTATTTGGACGATAATTGTGCTGTGGCATATTTATCAGATTTTATTGTTTGGATATGGATTTGACCCCATGCTCTTGTGTCTTTTTGGGTTGATTTCCTTCATTTGCTCACAAAATGTTTAGTTTTTTTTAGGCAGTCATTTTTCAGTATGGCGGAGGTATGCTGGTTCCCATAGTGTCCGCTCATTCCTTTAAAAGTCTTAACACAAAAATACAAACATTTTAAAAACATTAGGCTGCAACAATGGGGAATGGCTAAACAGTACGGAAATAATCTTCTGTTCCCTATCAAAAGCTACACTCCAGAAAAACCGTCCAAACCAATTTAACAATTGAATTGATATTCAACAAATGATAACACATGATAAAGCTTGGCTTAATGAATTTTAGATCCTTTTCTACGAAAGCACGTTTTATAAATGACATGATCACAGCTCAAAACCTAGATGTGCTCTGTTTGACAGAAACCTGGCTAAAACCAGATGATTACATTATTTTAAATGAGTCTACCCCTCAAGATTACTGTTATAAACATGAGCCGCATCCAAAAGGTAAAGGAGGAGGTGTTGGTCAAATTTATACTAATATTTTCAGTATTTCTCAGAACTGGTTTCAAGAATAATTCGATTGAAGTAATGGTGAATCAAATAACATTATCCAGAGAAACAAGTGTTAATGATAAATCCCCTGTGATGTTTGTACTTGCTACTGTATACAGGCCACCAGGGCACCATACAGACTTTATCAAAGAATTTGCTGATTTTCTATCTGAGTTAGTGCTGGCTGCAGATAAAGTCTTAATTGTTGGAGATTTTAATATCCATGTTGATAATGAAAAAGATGCATTGGGATCAGCATTCATAGACATTCTGAACTCTATTGGGGTTAGACAACACGTCTCAGGACCTACTCATTGTCAAAATCCTACTCTAGATTTAATACTGTCACATGGAATTGATCTTGATGGTGTTGAAATTATGCAGCCAATAGACAACACGTGTCAGGGCCTACTCATTGTCGTAACCATACTTTAGATTTAATACCGTCACATGGAATTGATGTTAATGGTGCTGAAATTCTGCAGCAGAGTGATGATATCTCAGATCATTATCTAGTCTCGTGTATTGTGAAGATCTCATGTTACCCCTAATTCTTGTATATACCGTTTTGTTTTGATTTATATTTGTTTGGTTCATTTGTATACATTTTTGCTGTTTAAAATCACTTTGGGTTATTTTTCCTAGTCTAAGGTGCACATTAGACAAAAAAAAAAAAAAAAAACACCAAAAGTTTTCTTTCTTTGTTTATTTGATGGTTTACCAACTTCATTTTCTTACCTCTTGTCTCTGGGTTCATGGCTGCAGCATGGTTCCGGGGGTAGGGGTTTAAGAGGAAGTGTGGCCTTCCTGTTTCCTTTTTTATGCAATCAGGAGGAATTATGGGTAGTGTAGGCATAGTCTACTTACCAGTATGAGCAGGGGTGTCATTGTTTCATTGTGTTTATTTGAATGTATGTATACATTTATTGTTTTGTTTATTTCTTGTATTTATTTGGGTACTATATTGATTGTTAAAATTTATTTTGAATTTGATATTCAATTATTGAGTTTATTTATGTGTTCATGTATATGTATGATTTTTTATTTTTTTTTCCCTGTGAATGATTTGGTTTGACCCTTGAGTTTGAAAGGGCTCATTATCGAGGCCTCACACTCCATCCCAGTAGGTGGCGGAAATGCACCTTAAGCTGGTTTGCCAACTGCCACTGAAGAAGAAGAAGAAGAAGAAGAAGAAGAAGAAGAAGAAAGGGCTCACTTCGTTTGTTAGTGTGAGTTCTGGTTGGGGTCTCCGTGAGGAGGGTCAACACTAGGTTTGATGTGTTTTTTTTGTGTTTTTTTGTGAAATGCAAGTTTTGAGTCAATACATATTTTATATTGACTGCAAGCAGTGTCTCCACGCCTTTGCTCTGGTCATGTCCCCACATTATGGTGGCAGCAGTGGGATATTCCAGAAGAGGAGCATTGCTGTGTCAAATCTTCAGGTGTGATGGCACCAAACCGGACACGTACTGAGAAATCAGATGGACCATGGAGAAGATGGGGAAGAACTACAAGGGGCTAGTGTAGGTGCTGTTGAGCCAGTTCCCCCTGAGAGTTCTTCTAAGGATATTACTGAGCTCAAGGATATGTTCCAGAAATCCCTGGTAGATCAAAGAGAAAGACAAATTTGTCAGGAACAAGAAAATGCACGACAAGAAACAAGATGGAAGTCCTTGCAACATCAGTTTCGCTTACTGCAGGGAGAAGTAAATCAGCATACCTCACTGGGAAATCCGCCACTAGGGGAGAGTGAGGGTCCAGGCACGTCTTCCAGAAATTCTGATGGAGTTCGACATTCAACTGCTGTGGGTCCATTGAAAGAGCCAAAGATGCAGCAGCTCAGTGAGATATATGACATCGAGCATTATCTGACTACCTTTGACAAATTGCTACCGTGTGCAAATGGCCTCCAGAGGATTGGGCCATTCGACTAGTTCCTCTACTCACTGGCAAGGCCTGTGCTGCCTACGTGACTATGGATGTGGAGGAACTATAGGCAGGTGAGAGAGGCCATATTGAAGAAATACTCTATCAATGCTGAGAACTATCGTAAGCGGTTTCGTTCCATGGAGGTGCTGATGGAAGAAGCTCCTAAGGAATTGTACATTCGGTTGAAGGATTTGTTCTACAAGTGGGTGAAACCTGCAGAAAAGACTGTTGCAGAGGTTGCAGAGACTATCATTTTGGAACAGTTTTTAAGAATGTTGTGTCCTGAACAGCAAACCTGGATTAAAGTGCATGATCCATCCTATTCTGAGGAGGCCGCCAGGCTGGCGGATGTCTTTGTGGCAGCTAGGCGAAGGACTGAGCCTTGGAGTTTTGCTCAGTGGAAGACCGCAAGGGACAAGCCTTCTTCCCACAATACAACCTCACTGCTAGAAGGGGCTAAGAGTATGGGCGAGAGACTGGTGAAACAAACAGAAACGTCTAACTTAACTACAGTTGGGACTATTAAGTGTTTTAATTGTGGCCAGATAGGCCATAAGAAACCAATGTGTCCAAACCTGAATAAAAAGCTTACCAATGTCTGTTATGTTCCACGGATGAGGAT